TATGTATATGCATGACTGGGGACATTGTGCTGTACACCAGAAACTGACACATTGTAATTGACTGTACTTCAATTATAAAAAATGTGAGATGATGGAAAAAAGTATTCCATGCAAATGGAAATCAAAAGAAAACTGGAGTAGCAATACTTATATCAGACAAAATATATTTTAAAACAAAGACTGTTACGAGATAAAGGACACTACATAATGATCAATCCAAGAAGATATAACAATTGTAAATATGTATGCACCCAACACAGGAGCACCTCAATATATAAGGCAAATGTTAACAGACATAAAGGGAGAAATTGAGAGTTACTAAATAGTGGGGGACCTTAACATCCCACTTACATCAATGGACTGATCATCCAGACAGAAAATCAGTAAGGAACACAGGCCTTAAATGACACAACAGACCAGATGGACTTAACTGATATTTACAGAGCATACCATCCAAAACCAGGAAATACATATTCTTTTCAAATGCACATAGAACATTCTCCATAATCGATCACATACTGAGCTACAAAGCAAGCTGTGGTAAATTTAAGAAAACTGAACACACATCAAGCATCTTTTCTGACCACAACGCTGAGATTAGAAATCAACTACAAGAATGACTGAAACATTGTGCTGTACACCCAAAACTGACACATTGTAACTGGCTATACTTCCAAAGAAAAGAAAAAGCAACTAGAAGAAAAAAAACTGCACAAAACACAAACATGTGGAGGTTAAACAATATGCCACTTAAGAACCAATGGATCACTGAAGAAATTAAAGAAGAAAAATTTAAAAATACCTAGAAACGAAAACATGACAATCCAAAACTTGTGGGATAGAGCAAAAGCAGTTCTAAGAGGGAAGTTTATAGTGATACAAGCTTTCCTCGGGAAACAAGAAAAATCTCAAAAACAACCTAACCTTACAACTAAAGAAACTAGGGAAAAAAGAACTAACAAAACCCAAAGTTAGTAGAAGGAAAGAAATCACAAAGATCAGCACAGAATTAAACGGAGACTGAAAAAAAAAACCCCCAGAAAAGATCAATTAAACTAAAAGCTGGTTCTTTGAAAAGATAAACAACTTTAATTTGAAAAGATACATGCACACCAATGTTCATAGCAGCATGATTTACAACAGCCAAGACATGGAAGCAACCTAAATGCCCATCAACAGCTGAATGGATAAAGATGTGGTGTATGTATGTGTGCGTGTGTATATACATATACACATGTATACACATACATACATATATAAATACACACATACACATATGTACATATAAAATATTACTCAGCCATAAAAAGCAATACTGTCATTTGCAGCAACAGGGGTGAACCTAGAGAATATGATATTAAGTCAGTCAGAGGACAAACATCATATGATATCACTTATATGTGAAATCTAAAAAATGATATTAATGAACCTATTTACAAACCATAAATAGACTCACAAACATAGAAAACAAACTATGGTTATCAAAGGGGAAAGGGGTTGGGGGAGGGACAAATTAGGATTTTGCAATTAACATACACACACTACTATATATAAAATAGATAAACAACAAGGACCTACTGTATAGCACAGGGAACTATATTCAATATCTTGTAATCATCTATAATGGAAAAATTAACAAGCTCAGAAAATTACAAAAAGTGAAGGAGCAGGAAAAAACCAAACCTAAAATATCCTTAGAGTGTTGAGAGGATATTGCATCCATAAAAGAACAAGAAACTAAGAAACATTATAAGAACAGACAATTTTTAGAAATTAAAATATTATAAAAAATTCAACAAGTGGTTTGTAAATTGAAGTAATCTCTGAGAAATTAGAAGGAAAAGGTGGAAAATTAAAGCAACAACAAGAAAATCAGAGGGTCAGTGTAGGATTTCCAACATCAAAATGCTAGGAATATCAGAAAAAGAAAACAGAAAAAAATAGAAGAGAAATTAAAAAGAAAATGCAAGAATATCTCTCAGAACTTAAGGACACATTTCCCAATCAAAGGGCTCACCATGAACTCCTTTCATAAAATTCTAAAAACCCCTGAGAGTAGGAGCATCATACTTCTTAATAGCAATACGAGAAGCTAGAAGAAAATGGAGTTTTACTTTTTAAAACTCTGAAAAACAACTCTATGCAGACAAATTAGGAATCAAACGTGATGAAAGGAAAAAAATTCGGACATGTAAGGCTTCAAAAAACTTACTTCCCTTGCACATTTCCAGGAAGTTACCAGAAGTTGGGCTCCAACAAAATGAGAAGCCAAGAATGGAAGACATGGGATTTAGGAGAAAGGTGATCATGTAACAGAGAGATGAGACAGTGAAGGAAAAGTTCAGGATAAGAGCTCTAGAGCAGGCCTAGAGAATAACCAGTTTGGACTGTACCAAAAGAATGGAGGGCCCTAAGAGAGTGTCTCCAAGAAAAAGGTAAAATGATAGGTTACTTGATACTTTGAACAGAATGAGATTTTTACTTAGAAGAGTCTGGAGGTGAATTAATGACAGATACATGTAAAGCCAAGCACAAAAAAAAAAGAGATAAGAGGGAAAAGAAAAAGTTGTGAAAGAAAGGAAATTTAATTGTCAAACAAGGTTCATCTTTGAAAAATAATTATATAATCACAATAATGGAAATATTCAATATTAAATTAAGCATAAATTATATCACTATATTGGAAGAATGAGAATTACTATATCCGGAGAATGTTTTTATGTGTGTATGTTAGGATATGTGTGGGTATAAGAAAGTCGAATTATCATAAAAAGAAAGGGATACTGTCTAAAACAAAAATTCATGAAATAGCTACTAAGCATGTTAATAATTTTTAAAGTCCAAAGAACCAGTTAAAAAGCAGAAAGTGGCTGCATCTGGAGAGTAGGAATCAAGCAGGGATGAAGAGAATTGCTAGTTTTTGTCTTGAACTATTTGACTTTTAAAATTACATTTATATGCAGTAACTTTAAATAATGTCTTGTAATGGCAGAAGATAGAGAAAGAAATTAGGTCTTCTCCTGAGATACCCAGGTCACAGAGGAAAGAGAACAGGCCTTCATACCTATATTGCTGGACTCCAAAATCAGGGTCACTACACAGAACAGGTTCACATTAGCATTGAAGACCACAAATTCCACAAAGAGGCCTTTGGTGTAACGGTCTAGCCAGTGGCTCTGTTCAAGCTGCTGCAGAACTCTGGGAAGACAAGGAAAGGCCAGCTACTTTCTCCATTTAACCCTGCAGACGAGGAAAGTGCCCTGGCATTTCTAGTATCACTATGTAACAGGTGAGAAGCTGCATTTCCCAAACTGGTTTACCTGTAAAATATTTATGATTCCAAATGCCCAAACTTTCACTAATGTTAACGTGAATATAAATTTAGAAGACGATAAAAAATGAGTTTTCACGATGGTATTAACACCAAAGTTAAAAGTTCAAGAGAATATACTTGGCATTAAACATGTGAGGTAGAATTAATATTATATGCATTGTAAACTACCTCTATTTGAAATGTTAAATGCTACTCTTAACTAACAGCTATTCAAGTGTAAGGAGTGGAAATGACGTTTGGCTGGCGTTACATTTTTTGAGCAGTTAATTTCTTGCTGTAAACTTAAATGAAGAGATAATCATTTTAATTTGGGCTTTTTCATACACAGTGACAGAGACCCTCAGAATTCATATACAATACAGTCTAAGCCTCTTCTGATAATTTGTTTGGCATTTGAATTTTGATTTGATCATGGCTCATGAAGGGCAACATTTCCTCTCACATTTGAAGAGTACAGTTTGACCAAGGTAGAGTTATTTGAGTTCAACTGCAGCTTGAATTGAAGCTGATGTGTTTTTCCAGATGGGAGAAGGAAGGAAATTTGGCAAATTGGCAAAACAAAACATACCTGTAGTTTGAGACTGAGCCTGGAATATTTAAAGATACATTTCCTTAAGAATCTAAAATAAAAATGTCTACAAGTGTCACAGACAGTATAGTAGCATTATAGTAGCTGCTGAAACTACTCAAATGGGTCCTTAACTCCTATTTGTCCTAAGAATGGACAGAAACAAATATCTTGGTCCTCTTGTTCAGGGTTCAGGTTCACTCACCTCATTGCAGTAGTGGAATTTCTTCCAAGTCTCACAATGTATCCTCCTCCTGAGTAAGTGGCAAATTCCCCTCGGATGGGATAGCCACCCAGTGTCTCTTGATTCTGATAATGCCAAATGCTGTCTGATTTTGTGTTGTTTGTATCAGGGGGTCCCCAGTTAACCCCATAGTTCTCTGTATCCTCCTGATCTTGGTGAAATGACTTCACTTTTTCTTGGGGAGGCACTCGAGTTGGAAAGAATATGGCACCAGGAATGCGAATCTGACGAAGCAGAACATTGCCCAAAAGAAACGAGTTCCCATCAGTAATAAATCCTAATGAGAGAGTACGGAAAACTGTTTAAAAAACTGACTCATTAAGTTAGTAACAAAGAAAGGCATATTTTCAAAACTTTTTTGGGAGAGTTGCTAGTAAATACAATCAGATCAACAAAAGAAAATAGATATTTCTAAAAGGATATGAAGTTATCACAATTTGTAAATAACATAGATGATGATCTAAATAAATCTGAGAATCAACTGAAAAATATCAGCAAGACAGTGGAACAGGCGATCCCCTGCTTGTATCTCCCCTCAGCAATAGTATTTTGTCAGCAATCTATAGACAAAAGTGCCTCTGTGGGAACTTTGGGATCCAGGTAGGGGATTGTGAAACCCCAGTGGACTTCAAGACTAACAAGAGCTATTTTGAGAACCCTAGTTCTCCCCCAAGGGAGGTAGAGAGCTCCCTATCTCCTCACAGTGCCCAGGTGTCTGACTTACCAGTTGTAGTCCCGGCTACGGATGCAGAAACAGCTCTGTGCCCCTGTGGACATGGCTGCAGCCCCAGTTGGCCTTGGTGCTGCTCCCAGCACCACAGACCCATACAGCCACTCCCACCCATGCCCCAGTTAATAGACCTGCAGACCTCAGTCCCAAATGTGGACCATTAAGTGGCCCACGACCCAGCTCCAGTCCCTCTCAGCCATGGTCCAGAAGCCCCTGACCTCAATGGTCTGAAACAAGAAATCAACAACAGGAGCTCACAGAGAAAAAAAAAATGTGACAATGAGTGTGTATATGTCCATGTATGACTGAAAAATTGTGCTGAACACTGGAATTTGACACAACATTGTAAAATGATTATAAATCAATAAAAAATGTTAAAAAAGGAGGAAAACCAAAAAATTAACAAGTACTTAGAAATTAAACAACATGCTCCTGAACAACCAATGGGTCAAAGAAGAAATCAAAAAGTATCTTGAGACTAATGCAAATGGAAGCACAAAAGTCATACCAAATCTTATGAGATGCAGCAGAAGCAGTTCTTAGAGGGAAGTTTATAGCAGTAAATGCCTACATTAAGAAAAAAGTAAGATCTCATATGAACAACCTGAATTTACTTTTTAAGGAACTAGCAAAAAAAAAAAAAAAAGAATTGAGCCCAAAGTCAGAAGAAATGAAATAATAATGATTAGAGCAGAAATAAATTAAAAAGAGACCAGAAAGACAATGGGAAAATGTTTTAAAAAAAAGAAAAGAGTTGGTTTTCTTGAAAAATAAAACTGACAAGCCTTTAGCTAGGCAAACCAGGAGAGGACCTAAATAAATAAAATTATAATGAAAAAGATATCGGGTCAAGATGGTAGGACCATGAGCTCACCTCTCCTCATGACTACAATGAAACCACAACTGAATGCTAAACAACCATTGAAGAAAGACTGGAACCTAGTGAAAAAGATCTGCAACTGGAAACTTAAAAGAGGGAAAGAAAGCAGGATGGTAAGAGGGGCGTGCTCGCCATATAATTGGGCCCCATACCCCCTGGGTGGGCGACCCACAAGCTGAAGATTTCTTAAGTTGTAGAGCCCCCCCGCAAAGGAGTGAGAGCTCTAAGCCCCACATCAGGCTCCTCATGTCAGGTCCTGGCATTGGGAAGAGAAGGAGACCCTAGGACATCTGGTTTTGAAGGCCAGTGGGGCTAAACTCCAGGAGCCCCATGGGACTGGGGGAAACAGAGACTCCATTTGCTTGAGAAGTGTACACAGAAACTCATGTGCACCAGGACCAAGGGCAGAGGCAGCGATTTCATAGGAACCTGGGCCAGACCTGCCTGCTGGACTTGGAGAGTCTCCTGGGGACGTGGGGGACGGCTGGAACTCACTCAGGGAACATAAAAGCTGGTGGTGGACATTTCGAAGTATTAATCTACACGAGCTTTCCTGGAGGCTGACATCTTAATTGGATCATTAGCACTAAGACCCAGCCCCACAGCCTGTAGGGAAGCCTCAGGCCAAACAACATACAGGGTGGGAACACAGCCACACCCATCAGCAGACTTCCTAAGCCACAAAGGCCTCTAGACACAGCCCTACCCACCAGAGGTCCAGGACCAAGCTTCACCCAGAGGTGGGCAGGCACTGGCTCCTCCTGCCAGGAAACCTGCATAAGCCTCTAGTCCAGCCTCATCCACAGGGGCAGATACTAGAAATAAGAACACAATAATCCTAAAGCCTGTGGAAGAAACCCACAAACACACAGAAAGATAGACGGTATGAGGCGGCAGAGGAATATCTCCCAGGACAAGGCACAAGATAAAATCCCAGAAGAAATAAGTGATCAGGAGATAGGTAATTTATCTGAGAAAGAGTTTAAAGTAATGATGGCCAAGATGTTCAGAGAACTCAAGAGGAGTATAGATGCACAGAGTGAAGTTTTTAGCAAAGAGTTGGAAAATATAAAGAATACCCAAACAGAGTTGAAGAATAAAATCACTGAAATGAACAATACACTAGAAGGAACTGGAAATAGACTAAATGAGGCAGAAGAACGGATAAGGGAGCTAGAAGACAGATTAGTGGAAATCACTACTGCAGAACAGAAAAAAAGAAAAAAGAATGAAAAGAAATGAGAATAGTTTAAGAGAACCCTGGGACAACATCAAGCACGCTAATATTTGCATTACAGTGGTCCCAGAAAGCAAAGAGAGAGAAAGGACCTGAGAAAATTTTTGGAGAGATAATAATGGGAAACTTTCCCAACTTGGGAAAGGAAACAGTCACCCAAGTCCTGGAAGCACAAAGAGTACCACACAGAATCAACCCAAAGAGGAACGCACCAAGGCACATAGTCATCAAACTGATGACAATTAAGGATAAGGAGAAAATATTAAAATTAGCAAGAGAAAAGCAATAAATAACCTTATGGTTAACCCTTCTATGCTATCAGCTGATTTTTCAGCAGAAACTCTAAAGGCCATAAGGGAGCGGCATGATATATTTAAAGTGATGCAAGGGGGAAACTTACAACCAAGAACACCCTTTCCAGCAAGGCTCTTGTTCAGAACTGATGGAGAAATCAAAAGCTTCACAGATAAACAAAAGCAAAAAGATTTCAGCACCACAAAACCAGCTTTATAACAAATGTTAAAGGACCTTCTCTAGTCATCAAACCATAAGAAAAGAGAACAAAAAGAAGAGAAAAAAGAGAGGCCTATAAAAGATGGCTTTGGCTATTTGGGGTCTTTTGTGGTTTCTTATAAATTTTGGAATCGTTCTGGTTCTGTGAGGAACGTCATGAATATTTTGATGGGGGCTGTGTTGGATCTGTGGATTGCTTTCAGTAGTGTGGCCATTTTGATAGTGTTGATTCTTCCAGTCCAAGAGCATAAGAAATCTTTCCATTTCTTTGTGTCATTTTGGTTTTCAGAGTATAGGTAACCTCCTTGGTTGGGTTTGTTTCTAGGTATTTTGTTATTTTTGATGTAATGGAAATGTCTCTGCCAGTTATAAAATTCTGGTTCTTGAGGTGGAAAAAAAAAGTGAATGAAGGGCTGCAAATAGCAAAATATACTTCTTTTTTATGGTGAGTTGTATTCCATTACACACACACACACACACACACACATATATATATATATATATATATATATATGCTGCATCTCCATTTTCTATTCAACTATTGATATGTACTTAGGATGCTTCCATATCTTGGCAATTATAAATAATGTTGCTGTTAATAGCAGGGTGTATGTATCTTTTTGAGTTAATTCTTATTTTGTGCTTGGCTTTATTCCTTTGATAACTATGTAAGTTTAAAAAGCTAAAGCTCTAAATGTTCTTAGAAACAATGAACAGTACATATATGTAAATTTAAAAATATACGTGCAGTTAAAAAAGATAAAAAAAGATCTATCAAGCCACGAAAGACATGAAAAAAACGTAAAAGACATATTACTAAATGAAAGCAGCCAGTCTGAAAAGGCTACAAACTGTACAATTCCAAACAAATGACATTCTGGAAAAGGCACAGCTACAGAAACAATAAAAAGATCATGAGGGGTTTGGGGAGGGGGAGGGAGGGAAGAACGAATAGATGGAACGCAAGGGATTTTTAGGGCAATGAAATTATTCTGTATGATACTATAGTGGTGGCTACATGTCATTATGCATTTGTCAAAACCCATAGAATGTACAATATCAAGAGTGAAGCCTAATGTAAACTATGGACTTTGGTTGATGATAATGTGCCCATGTGGTTCATTGATTGTACCAGATATGCCACACTGATGAGGAATGTTGAGGGTAGGGGAGTATATATGTGTGGGTGGGGAGGGCTATGTGGGAACGCTGTATTTTCTGCTTAGTTCTGCTGTGAACCTAAAACTGCTCTAAAAGAATAAAGTCTATTTAAAAAAAACAACATTATAAATCAAAGAGGAGACATTACAACTGGTATCACAGAAATACAAAGGCTCATGAGAGAGTTCTATGAACAATTATATGCCAATAAACTGGTTACTGTAAAGAAATGGATAGATTCCTAGAAACATGCAACCTACCAAGAATAATGAATAAACAGAAAATCTAAAAAAACTAAGTAAGGAAATTGAAGCAGTAATCAGAAACCTCCCAATAAAGCTATTCACCAGATAGCTTCATGGGTGAATTCGATCAAACATCTAAATCTTTCTTAAACTCTTCCCAAAAATTTAAAGAGGAGGGAATACTTCAAAACTCATTTTATGAAGCAGTATTATTCTCATACCAAAGCCAGATAAGGACACTACAAGAAAATTATAGGCCAATATCCTTGATTAACAGAGATACAAAAATCCTTAACAAAATACCAGCAAACAGAAAATTCAACAGCACATTAAAAGGGTCATACAGTACAGCCAAGGAGGATTTATCCCTGGGATGCAAGGATGATTCAAAATACACAAGCCAATAAACATGATATATCATATTAACAGAAGGGAGGATTAAAATCTTACGATGATCTCAACAGATGGAGAAAGAGTATTCAACAGAAGTTAACATCCTTTCATGATAAAAATTCTCAACAAGTTAGGCAAGAAGGAATTCACCTCAACATAATAAAGGCCATGTATGTCAAGCCCACAGGTAACATCATACTCAGTTGTGAGCAGCTAAAACCCTTGCTCCAAGATCAGGAACAAGACAAGAATGCCACAACTATTAAACACATTACTGGAAGTCCTGGCCAGAGAAATTAGGCAAGAAAAAGAAATAAAAGGCAACCAGATAGGAAAGGAAGAAGTAAAACTATCTCTGCAGATAACATGAGCTTATATAGAGAAACCTTTAAGACTCCACCAAAAAACTGTTATAACAAATGAATTCAGTAATTTTGTTATAACAAAACCAATATACAAAAATCAGTTACATTTTGTTACACTAGCGATGAACTATCTGAAAAAGAAATTAAGAAAATAATCTCATTTACAGTAGCATCATAAAGAACAATACATTTAGGAATAAATTTAACCAAGGAGGTTAAAAAAAATGGAGGTTAAAAAGCTGTCCAATGAAAACTGTAAGGTATTGATGAAAGACATGAAGACAACACAAATAAATGGGAAGATAGCGCACATTCATGGATTATAAGAATTAATATTGTTAAAATGTCCATATGACCCAAAGTGATCTACAGATTCAATGCAATTCCTATCAAAATTCCAATGGCATTTTTCACAGAAATAGAAAAAACAATCCTAAAATTTGTCTGGAACCACAAAATACCCTGAATAGCCAAAGTAATCTTGAGAAAGAACAAACCTGGAAGCATCACACTTCTTGATTTCAAATGATATTACAAAGCTATAGTAATTAAAATAGTATGGCAGTGAGATACAAACAGATATATAGAACAATAGAGGTGAATAGAGAATATAAAATTAAACCCACGCATATTCAGTCAACTCATCTATGGCAAGGGTGCCAAGAATACACAATAGTAAAGGATAGTCTCTTCAACAAATAATGCTGGGAAAACTATATTTTCCACATGCAAACAAATGAAACTGGACCCTTTTCTTATGCCATGTATGAAAAGTCAACTTCAAATGAGTAAGTAACTTGTATCTTAGACTTTAAACTATAAAACTCCTACAAGGAAAACAGACAACTCTCCTTGATACTAGTCTTGGCAATTTTTTGTATATGACACTAAACACACAGGCAACAAAAGCTAAAAAAACAAGTGGGATTACATTAAACTAAAACGTTTCTGCCCAGCAAAGAAACAATCAACAAAATCAAAAGACAACCTACGAAATGGGAGAAAACATTTGCAAACTCTGCATCTGATAAGGAGTTAAAATCCAAAATCCATAAGGAAACCATACAACTGAATACAAAAAAAAAAACAAACCCACAAAAAACAAAAAACAACTCGACTGAAAAATGGGCAAAGGACTTGAATACACATTTTTCTAAAGAAGACATATAAATGGCCAACAGGTATATGTAAAAATCACTAATCATCAGGGAAATACAAATCAAAACTGCAATGTGATATCATTTCACACCTGTTAGGATGGCTATTACCAAGAAGGCAAGAAATAACAAGTGTTGGTGAGGGTTTCAAGAGGGGAACCTTGTTGGTAGGAATGCAAACTGGTACAGCCACTACGGAATATAGCATGGAGGTTCCTCAGAAATTAGAAATAGTTACTGTATGATCCAGCAATCCTACTACCAGGTACATATGAAAGAAAATAAAGTTAGTATCTTGAAGAGATATATGCACTCCCTTGTTCATAGCACGATTATACACAATAGTGAAGATTTGGAATATGCCAAACAATGAAACACAAATACTGTATGATCTCTTATAAGTGAAACCAAAAAAAGTCAAACTCAGAACC